TTCGTTTATGTAAACTATGTAAATGAACGCAAAAACTCCGGGACAAAGTCGTCTAAAATAAAACAGACTGTAGGTGCGAAAACACCTTAAAACCCGTCGCTTTGAATATTGCATGTTGAATTATAGGAGGGTCTCAATGGGGTAATGGCTTTTACGGCTGACCATAGTTAGTAGAGGAAACTACTAGACTAGAGACTAGTCTCCTCTACTAACTATGGGCTGACGGTTAAAATTTTTGGCCAATTTACGGCTAACATTTAACACCTTTCCATTATTTTCACCAGAAAAATTGTTTTACTGCTAACTGTTTTTGCGACAAACGGTTAAAATTTGTCAATTTTTACGCCTAAAGTCTAAATGTTTTGGTCGTTTTACGGTTCACGGTTAACCGCATTGAGGCCCTCTTATATGATCTGGGATCTGCAAATTGGTTACGCGATACACTCCTGCCTGTGAATCCTGGCTGAGCGTAGACGAGAAGACTCATATAAGAGTTGACTAAGGATAGAAACGGTACAAACATCTAAATGATTAAAATGAAAAGCAATGCATTTTGTCGCTCAAAATATTCTTAAGATTCGTTCGCAAATTCTGCCTTCGATGTGATGAGGAAAACTGAATCAATATGGACGGAAATATGTCATTGATAATCTTAACGACCGTAACGCTACGAAAAAGACCGCTTTCTCTAGTTTGTTGCTTATGATATTGACAAAGGAAGAAATTTATCGGAAGTGAGAATAGACAATGATTAAACTTTATGGGTGTCGAAAATAAAACATAAGAGATGCTTTTCCTTTTAAAAATGTTATAAATATTTCAACCCATCTACAGTTAATTTGTCTTTGAAATTTTCAAGGCGATAAAAACAACAACCGTATTTCTAAAAGCGGCACCGAGAAGAGGAGCAGGTCTCTCTACTTAGTCTTTCTACTGTATTTCCAGAAGATCTTTAAATATTTGTCGCCGTCTGTTTTTGGAGGCTTTAAATTTCGTTCAAGCAATTTAAATCACTTGTGGCAAAGCTTTCCGCTTATTCAGTGAATATCGAAAATTTTTTATATTATTAAATGCGCCTTTATCGAAATAAAAAGCAGGAACAGGCTAAA